ATACTTTGTATTCCGATATCCTTCACCATATTTCTGCACTTTTTAATAGCTAAGAAGTGCTATGTAGCTGTGATCAAGAAGTGGAAAATGGGGGGCGGGGGTGTTGTTTTGTTTTTTTACTGCAGTATACTAGATAACTGTCCAGCACACTACTTCTTGATTCTTAGCTTGGAAGTAAGTTCCTTTGATTTACTTGGAAGCAAATTTCCCTGAAGTGTGCTGAAGGGTACAGGCACTGACAACCATACAGTGCCATAGGGTCAGAGTCTATTCAGCAACTGTATAAGCTAACTTGGAAACAGGAACAAGATTTATGGTTGAAGTTACTGATAAAATTGGACAAATAGTAGATCAAATTAAGGTGAGTAGACAGCTGGAGAAATGTGTGAACAGACTTCTAGGATGAACAAATAAGCAACAAATTCAATTTATTGTTGGGAAAACATCAGCAGGAGTGTGAAGAAATGAAGGTATGCCGTAGCAGAGTGAACAAATAAAAGCTTCAAGGCACTAGGGATTTTTAACTTGCATAAGCAAGATTCCATCTGAACAATGCTGAATATTCACTGCTCATTCGAAACCTGCATGGTATGCAACTGTAACCTTTTATCTAGATTTGCCATGACAAAATTGTTGTTGCATCTGAAGATAATTTTTTCAAATGTTAAGATTAGAGATGGACCTGAATTAAGAAATGAATCACTAAATTTGTTCAAAAATCGCTAATTTGTTGAGTTGAATCACTGCCCTGATTAATCCAAATCAATGAATTTTTAGTGATTTTGTTTAATGCATCCATTTGTTTCGCTATAAAATGGCTACTCAGATAAATAGAGACACCAAAATGATGGGGAAACATCCTCTGACTCTCCTCTACAATCCTGCCAAGTTTGGTGAAGATTGGGTTTCAGGTGTCCGAGTTATACATCCACAAAGAGGGCCCTCTGGGAAATTTTCCCCAGGATACCTAGAGACACCAGAATCACAGAGAAACTTCTATTGAATCTCCTCTACAATCCCAGTTTGGTGGGTTTCTGAAGCCACCTGCTAAAGGGCCCTTTCCCTGCCGGGACCCACTTTGTGGCTGTATGACTTGGATGTCATCAATCCAATCTCCACCACACTTGGAGGGATGGTAAAGAAGAGTCAGGGGAAGCTTCCCTGTGAATTTAGTGTCCCTAGGTGCTGGAGGGGGGCATTTTATAATGTTTTAAAATAAAAACAGAATTGACAAATTGATTTGTCAGAAAAAAATGTAAATTTGTAATTCATGATTTGGTGATCTTGATGAATCATGAATCAAAGCAAATCACAATTTTTCTGATTCTTGCCCATCTCCAGTTAAAATACTATATGAATCTCAGAGTCAGAAGATGACCTTGCAGTATTCTGATTGTTTCTATTTGGAATACTGCAGCTAATTCAAACTGTGTTGCTCATCAGCTTCTGTGGTGCTGCATATTTATTGAGAGACTTTGTCGTGTATTTAATCTGGAAGTCATATTCAAGATTTTTTTTTCAGCACGAATTTTTCTTTATAGCTGGTGCTCCAAAAACCTGGGATGCATGCATGATGTACTGCAACTCAGGAATGTATCTTATATCCTTCTGGAAGTGAAGGATTGGCCATCTACATGCTGTTGCCTGAGGGACACCTGAGTTGTAATCACAGTGCTTTTCCACTCTTCAAGGATGCTCGTTCTGTGCCTCTGTTGGAAGCCAGCCAATCCTTCACTTCCAGAAGTGTTACAGTATAAATTTGCTGAACAGCAAAATAGCACCATTGAAGTGGCCCACTTCTGGTCAGATGTTTTGATTTGTTTCTGATTTTGCCTGTTTCATGCACATCTCAAGATTTTGAATTGTGTAGCTCTCTGATATGAATAAAGAAAGATTTGTATCCTTCATAGGCACTGCATCCTTTAACATGAAAACACAAGTATATTAGCAGAACAGTTAGATGGTCAGACATGGACCATGTCACAAACTTGATATTCCATTCCTGAACCATTGTCACCATGTCTGTCACTATCCAGGGGCCATCAATACAATGGGGATAATTATAGAGGGTATGGTATTAGTACATCTTACATTAGAAGTGTTTTTTGCGATCGCTATAGCGATCACAAAACGATGGTTCCTATGGGGTTTTTTCACTTTACGATGATTAGGTCCCTGTTTCGTGAACTGATAGTTCGCAAGACTATGGTTAAAAACAGCTGATCGGCGGTTTGCAAAATGGCTCCCCACTGTTTTCCGGACCTATTTTCACAAGACAGGGATCGTAAATAACTTCCCCTATGGAGGATCTTTGCTGGACGAAGAAGTATTTCTCCCATTGGAATGCATTAACCGGGTTTCAATGCATTCCAATGGGAGGTGTTTTTTTTTTGCTTGACAACGATTTCGCTTAACAGCGATTTTCCTGGAACGGATTATTGTCATCAAGAGGCGCACCACTGTACACAAATTCACACTGATAAATTTATTCCTCTTCAAAATTCAACATTAATTTGCCCTTTGCTCCTCTTTGCCATTTTTCCTGTTTCATTTTACCAACAAACTTAATACTTTTCTTAAACCAGAAAATAGTAAAATAACAGAATTAAGATTATGCTACAAAAATATATAAACAATTCTAATATGTTTAAATGTATCTCTTCCTGCCAGTAGAGATAAAGAACCCACTGTAGTTTGTACTTCTGTGGAGGAAAATACTTTTCCAGAGTGATCCTTGGTTATAGAGAATACAATGTGTGCTTTCACTAAACTAAAATTGCTCCACTATGTCTTGAATGAACTGTACAGTCATGCCCCGCTTAACAATTGCCCCACATTATGACGAATCCACTTTATGACGATGTTTTTGTGATCACAAAACGATGGTCTAAATGGGGGAATTTAGCTTGGCAATGATCAGTTCCCTGCTTCGGGAACCGATTTTCGCTTTACGATGATCAAAAACAGCTGATTGTTGGGTTTTCAAAATGGCCACTGGGTGTTTAAAATGGCTCCCTGCTGTGCTTAGGGACGGGTTCCTCACTATACAGGCACCAAAAATGGCCGCCGTATGGAGGATCTTCGGTGGACGGTGAGTTTTCTCCCCATTGGAATGCATTGAATGGTTTTCAATGTGTTTCAATTGGCTTTTTATTTTTGCTTTATGATGTTTTCGCTTAACAGCGATTTTCCTGGAAAGGATTATTGTCATTAAGCGAGGCACCACTGTATATGTAAATGCTTCATTTTGTCAATAATTGTATTCAATATAAATAAAATGGTAAAAGTTGCCACGAACTAGGAATATTGTTTTTCATTTCTATGTCTTGACACCAGAATCATGCAGATCAGAAGATATCTACATAATCAGGCACTGTGTTCTTTTGAGATGACTGAGAGGCAGAGATTCAGTGAGCCTCGTGGCGCAGCGGTTAAACTGCTGTACTGCAGCTAAAACTGTGCTCACGACCCGGGGTTCAATCCCAGGTAGCCAGCTCAAGCTTGACTCAGCCTTCTATCCTTCCGCGGTCGGTAAAATGAGTACCCAGCTCGCTGGGGGGGGGGGGGACACAATGTGCAGCCTGCGTAATTAACCTGTAAACTGCCCAAAGAGTGCTTGAAGCACTATGGGGCGGTATATAAGCTGCACGCTTTGCTTTTGCTTTTTTTAGATTCTTGATCAGATGCTCTTGGTGGAAGTGTTGCTGTTTTCATTTTAATCACAGGAATATTCTTTTTCGGGTTCATATACAATTGAGAAAAAGAAAGATTATGTTAGGAATTGCTCTGGATATTTCTGCTTGTTAAGAACTTTCACGGAAAGCTGAACTTAAAAATTGCAGAGATTACTCTGGTTTTTTGACATAATGTGCAAAATGAATTTTTTATTCACAAAATGAAATTTTTTGTCATCTTTTATTTATTCTTGCCAGTGAAATATCTGTGGGCACTCTGAGGTGGTCAGATTTTACATCTGACTAAATGGACAAATTAAAGAGCAGGATTCCAAGGAGAAGACCAAATAAAGGATTAGTCCCTTAAATGGAAAACCTATTTCAAATTGCTCAGAGAAAATTATCATTAAAAAGAGATAGATAGAGAGAGAGAGAGAGAGGTAAAAGACAACACTGTGGTCTTTGGGACATGGTAATCTTATTCAGGATTGAAAGATTATTTTTAAGGGTTGTTTTTAAAGTGCCTTTTAAAAGTTAGTTTTAAAAATATAGTTCCCATGAGTAGATCTTCCATGAATAAAAGATAGTTTACAAAGGAAAGTTGCTAAAGTACTGACTGTCTGTGCAAGGACATAGTCTTGTAGCAATTTGAAGACTAAGAAGATTAATCGTCCTTTGTGGAGTGCTCTCCACAGCTTACGCCTAGTAAAATGTATGTCTTTAAGATGGTGAAATATTTTTTGTTTCCATTTGTTGCAGCAGACTAGACCACTGGTTCTTAACCTTGGGTTACTCAGGAGTTTTGGACTGCAACTCCCAGAAGCCTTCACCACCAGCTGTCCTGACTGGGGTTTCTGGGAGTTGCATTTCAAAAGCATCCGAGTAACAAAGGTTAAGGACTAGACTAACACAGCTGCTACTTTAGAAATATCAAGTGTAGACATAAGTATGAATCACTGAAACATATGGGGAGGAAAAACTCATGAGCAGACTTCTCACCCCTCCATCTCATTTAGTCTTTATAATACATACCGTGTTTCCCCAAAAATAAGACAGGGTCTTATATTAATTTTTGCTCCAAAAGTGCATTAGGGCTTATTTTCAGGGGATGTTTTATTTTACAGTCATGTTATCATCTTCTGGTTGCTCCACAATGGTGGAGGGCAGAGTTTCACTTAACTGGGGCTTATTTTTGGAGTAGGACTTATATTACAAGCATCCTGAAAAATCATACTAGGGCTTATTTTCAGGGAAAGAGGGTAAGTATGTCAGAAAACTTTGGAAAATTTACTAAGCTACTCTTAAATATCATTTTCCTTCCTTCAGATTGTATGGGGAGTGTTTTTCATCCTTGTGGCCCTGCTTTTCACTGTTTCTCTCTTCTTGTCAAAGTAAGTATGCATTGTATATTCTGTATTTGAAAAATTGGTGCATGAAAGTTGGTGATTTGAGAAGATATAATTTACACCAACTGTTCATGTGTTGCTATTTGTTCTAGTTACTTCATGTTTTCAAAGAGTTTTCTCATAATGTGTTGAGCTCTAAACAAGCACTTTCTTGAGAGTCTCAAAAGAGAGAGAGTGGTTGTAAAAATTATTAAACCCCATTACAAATCAAGTTTATTGTCAGAATTTACACTCTCAACTGTTTGCAATGAACAAATCAAAGAAAAGCAATTGAAATGGCTCAACACAGTGAGTGCTTCAAATGGTTCCCCCAAATTAAACTGAAAATGCAACTTTTAATGAATTCTGCAGTCTCATATTTAGTACTTAGTAAAGCCCCCTTTTGCTGTTATGGCCTGTTGCAAACGAGATGCATAGCGAGACACCAGATTCTGGCAGCATTTCTGAGGAATCTTAGCCTGTTCCTCATGACCAATGGCCTCCAGTGATATTCTTGGGTTTGAGTGCTACAACCACCTTCTTGAACTCCCCCCCCAAGATATTTTCTATGGGGTTCAAGCGAGGTGACTGTGATGGCCTCTTTAGAATCTTGGAGGAACCAAGCCTTGGTGGAATATGAGGTATACTTGGGATCATTGTCCTGTTGGAAGGTCCAGTGACACCCAAGCTTCAGCTTCCTCACAGAGGACATGAGGTTTTCTCTTAGGATTTCCTAGTACTTCAATGAATCCATCTTGGCTTTCACACGTTACAGGTTTCCAGTGCCAGAGGATGCAAAGCAGCCACAGAGCCTCACTGAGCCACTATGTTTAACTGTAGGCAGATTGTCCTTGTCAGCATACACTTTCATTCTTCTTCCTCCAGACACTGCTGATCCATTAGGCCAAAAAGTTTGTTTTCTCTCGCCGCTCCACATAACAGAATTCCAAAACTCCTGTGGCTTATTTATATGATTTTAAGCATATTGGAGCCTCCTTTTCTTGTGCTGTTGGTGTACATCTTGTAGTTATGGCATGGAAACTTTTTGCATTTAGCATGCACCTTACTGTGCAAACTGAAACCTCAGTGCCTGTTGCCACCAAGTCTTGCTGCTGTTCCTTTAACTTTAAACTTGCAAACTATGCTTCCAATGGTGTTTCTAGGAACATTTTGTGCCTTTGCTACCTTTTTGTATCCTGTTCTGTGCTTGTGAAGGGTGATGATCTGTTAACTTTTTGGATCATTCTTTTGACTTAGCCATATTTCGGACATGCAGTCAAATGTGACACTCACCCAACCCCTAGTCAGTTCAGGTATTTCATGTGTTCCAGCCCAAGCACGCCTGGTGCAACTAACGAAGCCCTTTATTCATTGCATCAGGTATGGGTGAGACAACACCTGCTTTAGTGTATTTGTGCTGTTGTGAGGGATTCTATTCAGGGGGTTGAATCATTTTGAGACTGCAGAATTCATTAAAAGTTGCATTTTCAGTTGAATTTGGGGAAACCACTTGAAGCATTTGTTCTATTGAGCTATTTCAATTGTTTTTGTTCGATATGTTAATTGCAAACAGCTGAAAGTCTGTCAATTTTGACACTAAACCTGATTTGCAATGGGATTTGAATAATTTTGATTACAGCAGTATATGGGGGAGAGCATTTACTTATAAATATGTGACCAAGACGGCAGCAAATTCAGTGTTTGAAACAAAAAACAGGGACATAATGAGAGTGATTAGTGCTTTCAGAAATATATGGGATGCTGGTAGACAAGGATGGGTTGTGGTAGACCTTTTGCTACTACTAGAATGGAGGCCATGAATAAAGCCAGGGGGTGATCACAGAATGAAAAAATACTGCCCAATCACTTTTGGTTTCTGGGCTTTTTGAATTGTCCTACAGTTCTCCATGCAGATAAAGAATTGGGAACAGAGGAGGAGGGTACTGACATTTTGAGTAGATTTATGTCAAATTAATGATTCTCTTTGATTTCTTTGTTTATGGATGCAGCTTTCAGTTATGTACTCAAAGGATGTGGAATTTGTATAGAAGCTTGAAGTTAGAGAGGGTTTTGTGCTTCCTAAATAATATGAACAAATCTTACACTGTGTCCTGAATACTGTTGGAAAGGATACAGTGCAAAATACTCTATGGTGTAAATATTTGATGGCTTAATAAAAAGAACCCGTTTGTGAATTTCCTGCAGTTTGGATAAAGCATTACATTCAACTGGCATAGATTCAGGATTTATAATTCTGGGAACTAACTTGACCAACCCACTGAATATGTTGCTACCTGTTCTCCAAACGGTGAGTAGAAGATAACAGAAGTTGTAAGAATAAGGATTAATCCTTAATATATAGAAATATTAATTTGTGTTATTAATTGAATGAAAATACAGGACTTGAATTCTAATATAAAATGCTTGAGTTGTTTTTTTAAGCAATACAGATGTGTTTGTTTAACAAGGCAGTGTCTTGGAGCTTGACTGCATAGGGAAAATGCAGGAAATACTATGGTTTTGGGACAGGCTGATTCCCATCAGAGACCCTTCTACTTTTTAAGAGTCAGGAACTTCTGCTTTGGTTGAAAACATGTGATTGCTTTGAACTGATGCGGAAAGGAAAAACTAATTGAGAATGTTTTTCACCTTGCTAAATTATTAGTTTGTCTGGAGCTATAGAATATGTTAAGTTTTTGAAGCTAGTCTAAAGAAGTAGGTGTAACGAATTCTGACAATAGAAATTTATGAATACATGGACTGTGGGTATTTGTTAAGAAATCTTAAATTTAATTCCATCCCCTTCCCCCTGATGTTGATAATATTAGCCTGAGTCCAAACTGAATGAGGGTCTGAAAAAGCACTGGATTGATTTATTTTATTTATTCTTGATTTTTTTAAAATGTGAAAGCAAGTTCAAACAAAAATTCTGTCAGATATTTCAGCAAATATTCAGCTTGTTTAATACTAAATCCTCTCCCAAATAAGTCAAAACTGGAAGATGTGTGACCTGACTTTGGTTTTGCATGAGCAAGTAGCAACCAAGGCACAAAATACCTTTTACAAGTTTAGGTTACTGAACTAGCTATGGAAGCCTGTCGACTCCTGGACTTCCACTCCATTGTTGTATCTAACTCAATGCAAACATTTTGCAATATGTTGCACACAGGACTGTATGTTGTTCAAACTTCAGCATGTCCAGAATCCAGCAGCCAGACATGTGACTTGAATTTGCAGCATGTTTTTTAGTCTAACTAGGTTCCACTTTGTTTATGAACAAATATGAAAGTGCTGGTTTTAATCTCGTGTGGCTTGGGGCGAGGTTTTCTAAAGGATCACTTGCTCCCGCTACAGCCTATGTTTTTACTAAAGCCTTTACCAAGCTCCTACTCTTTCCAAGGTTGCTGTAGTTTGATCAGAAATGGCCTTCTTTGTAGCAGTGCCCTTCTTGTGAAATGTTCTCCTTAGGGAACTTCCTTTATATTTTATGAATCATTTTAATATTGTTTTAGTCTCCAGACTCTGTGTGGATTATGTACTGCTTACTCTTTCATAGATTTGATCCGGGCATCTCTTAATTGTATTAAGTATATTGATGTTTTGATTTGGTTTTTAACTTTTCCTTTTATTATTGGCCTTTAATATTTTATACTGAAAAGCTGCATGTAGCTATTATCAGTAATACTCTCCCCGGCTGTGAAGTTTGTATAAATCAAGTGCACAGAATCTTGGTGACCTAGTTAAAACAGATGCTCTCTAAGGGCTTTAGAACATCTCTGGACAGTTTTTTTAATCTACGCCCAATAGAGCTTCAGTTGTAAAGAAACAAATGGGGTAGTTTGGGGGGTTTTTTTTGTTTGTTTTTGGTAAACACTTTATTGCTTCTTCGATGTATTCACAAATTCTGAAACATTTTTGTTTTGAAACATATATTTTGATGGCTTAGCTAAACTTCTTAAATGTTTAGTGTATTGTAATCTTAAATATTTTTGCCTTTACCCTTTCACATGCAGTGAATGGAAGAAGCTTAAAATACGTATCATTTTATTGTGAGTGTAGAATGTCATTTTTGGCTATAACAGAACTTTTTGTCTAATTTTTAAAATGTTTTTCTCAAATATTAGGTCTTCCCTCTTGATTATATCCTCATTACTATTATTATCATGTACTTCATCTTTACCTCAATGGCAGGAATTCGAAACATGGGTATATGGTTCTTCTGGATAAGGGTAAGTGCTACTCTTGTATGTAATCTTAACCTAATTACTGGAAATTGAATGGATTGCAGAACCAAAACAATATATGGAGGGATACACAAAGCAGTGTACTTTGCTCAAATCTCACTGAACAGAATATATACTTACTTAATTCATAAACTGTAACAGCATGCTGCTTTTTGTGAAGGCAACATGTGCAGAATGTTTTCTGGAACATATATCTGTGACTGTTGTCCCTTGCTATGGACTGCTAATGCCCATCTTGTCACATGTGCATGGCCAGTTTTTCCATGTTTGTAGTGCTTGATTTCAAAAAGGCAGATACTGATTTGATATTAATGTAAAGAAGCAGTTTCCCGTGATGCATTTTATTGAGTCGTATTATTCATTTGAGGTGCTTCATATTTTAATGTATAGTAGTTCATCCCCATAACTGATTTTCTGTTTTTATAACCTAAAAAAGTTGGTTGTTTCTTTCAGTTATTGATAAAACATTGGATCTTTAGCTTTTTTCTGCCATCTTGGCACTCACCACTGTGTGTTTCTTCAGGTCATCTCTGATTTTTATGTCTTCTCCCTCTTCCTTGAGAATTATTAACAGTGTATGGTTATACTTATATTAAAGCTGGTTGCCCATGGCAAATTTGTAGAATTTTGCACTCATCAGATATTGCTTGAATAGATAAATTACTTGCAGCATCCATTTCTTAAATAATTTAGATTTTGGGATAAACCTGTCTCAATAGCCAGACATCAGGGCAAAATATATATTTACTGATTACCTCAAATGTTTCTTAGCAGTATTTTATTCTGCTCTTCAGCGTGAAACTCCCTCCCTGAACACTCATGTGAAATCCCTTACTCTGCCTTTAAACTGACATACATACAGAATGGCCTGGATACCAAGTTCTGTGGGGGGGAGGGTTAAAGAGGATGGCTATGTTTAGCCTGAACTGAAAGACAGCTAAGACAATCTTATTGTTGCTATGATAGCCATTTCAAAGTTGAATTACAAGATCAAATTCTGAGAAGGGATTTTGACTTTATATTGGGAAGATGATTGTTGATCACATGAACTCTGTGGGACAGTGACACAGAGCCAATGCTGGACTCTGTTTAGAGTATTTTAAACAAAGTCTAAATAGCCACTTACTAGATCTGTTTTAGTGGCTAATTTACCCTTTTGTAAACTAGACCTTTGAGGGCTCTTCAGTTTAATGGCTTCTTGAGAAAACATGGAGAGAAGCATTAGTTCTCATCTGTAACTGTAGCATATCAAACTATATAGTGCCTTGCCTCCCATTGCCATCTACCCCATGTGCTTCACCTGTCTTTGCTATGCCTCATTAGAGGTGCCATGAACTAGGGACTTCTTTGGCTGACACTGCTCTGTAAAGCACAGCAAAAGAACCGTTGATCAGTGATAGAGTACAGCATGTCCTTTTCTATGCTAAAGGTCTCAGACACAGTCCCCGGTGTACCCTGTTAAAATGTATCCTATAGGTTGCAGGAGATAAGACCTCTGTCTCAGATTCTACAGAAATACAGTGGTGCCCCGCATAGCGACGTTAATCCATTCCAGGAAAAACATCGCTATCCGGAAACATCGCTATATGGAAAGAAAAACCCCATAGGAACGCATTAAACTCTGTTTAATGCATTCCTATGAGGGGTAAACTCACCGCTAAGCAGGAATCCTCCATAGGGCCGCCATTTTCGCCACCTCGGTAAGTGAGGAATCAGCGCAAAAACACTGCGGGCGGCCATTTTCTTGACGCGGTGGCCATTTTGGAACCGCCGATCAGCTGTGCGAAAACAGGACCTTTGGGAGGATCGCAGGGGAGGGCTCCCCTGCGGTCCTCCCGAAGCCCCCGCCGGCATTTTCGCCCAGCTGACCGGGGGGCGCTTGGGAAGGAGCGTGGGGGAGGGCTCCCCTGTGCGCCTTCCGAAGCACCCGCCGGCTTTTTCCCCCAGCTGACTGGTGGGAGCTTCGGAAGGACCGCGGTGGAGACCTCCCCCACGGTCCTTCCGAAGCCCCTGCCGGTCAGCTGGGGGAAAATGGGGCCTATGGGGAAAAATCGCAATGCGGATTCGTCATTAAACGGGGCACCCGTTAAGCGAGGCACCACTGTACTGTCACAGTAGACTCGACTAGACTAAAAGGACCAATAGTTTGATCTAAGGCTCCTTCTGACGATACTATATAAGAAACAAATATGAATGATAAAACTACATATTTAGGCAAGTTAAATATGAGGCATGGAGGGCGATATATAATGTGAAGATAATTAGTACACTATGTACTTTTGTTCTTGAAGGCTCTTAAACACCTTTGTGTCTTGGAAAAGTAGTGTATTTTAGTAAGTGGTATCAGTTCAAAGATTTGGTTTTAAATGTAGTTCATATTCAAAAATTTTGCTTTCAGTTGTACAAGATCAGACGGGGGAGGACTCGGCCACAAGCACTTCTCTTTCTTTGCATGATACTACTGTTGATTGTTCTTCATACCAGCTATATGATCTACAGCTTGGCTCCTCAGTATGTTATGTACGGAAGCCAAAAGTATCTAGTTCCGGTAAGAGTTTTGATGTGTGTGGATGTAAAATGTAGAATATTTCAAAGTAGGAAGATGCACCACACCATGCCACAATACAAGGGCACTTTGAGGGATATCCCTAACATGCCTATGGAATATCTGGACAGAAAAGAACTTGGAATCAGACTTCTTGAGTATGGCTCCCGATTTGAGCATATAATCCACCAATTTCCCTTTGGCTATTTTTTTTTTAAATGAATTAAATTGAGCTAAAAGTATAGTATGGCTCCCGATTGCTGTTCAACTGAGCATATAATCCACCAATTGCCCTTTGGATATTTTTTTTAAAAAATGAATTAAATTGAGCTAAACTTTGAGCCCATTCTGAAGATATGCTTTGCTTACTGTATGCTTAATTCATGCTAAGTATAATGCGAAAAGTAAATACTGTAGAGCAATCTGGCTTAGTAATTTGTACCAGAGTCAAAGCAAGAAGGCATCCCAAATTCGGCCTCAAAAAAAATTTGAATTGTATGGCCTGTTGAAATACCTATTTTTTAAATACTTTATTCTGTTCTGCCTGGTTATAGGAATAAGCAGAGATTTCTACCCTGACACAGCTAATTGTATTCATTTATCGTTTCTGACTCACAACAATTTGCTTTTGGATTTTTATTCATCTCATATAACCTGATGGTCTAGAAACCACCCTTTATTTGCAGGACAGGTACCTTCTGGGAGCCAGGGAGGGATGGCATTGCTTGCCCCAGACCTATTCGGGACTGGATTTTTTCTGCTACCTTTTAATGTATCTTTATGTATGTTTATCTTGTAATAGGGATGTATGTAAACATTTGGGACATGTATTTGGATTCCTGTAGTTGTGGAAGTAGGTTTTGGTTTCTGAAAGCTTGTGTTAAGGAGACTAGGAGACTTCTTGTGATCTGTTGTGCTAAAATAGTATAAATTATGTCTTTTATATCATTGATATTCTAACTGTTATAGGAATGATCTATAGTGCATATATTTTCATGCAGAACAATGTGACAATTGATGGACATCTGGCAAACATGACAACCTGGGTGCCTAAAGTCTGTGATGCAGATGCCCCTGAAGGTAAGACAAATTCATGCTCAATGGATAAAAAAGTAAACTACTTACAGAACATTTTTAAAACCGCAGAGGTTTTACTTGCTATACAATAGATATTTGCATATTTAGGCCTTTTAGAGAAAAGTACTTTAAATATATTTCGAAACAACCATCTTACTAACAGTAGGTTCCAAATGTCCAAGTTTAGCTTGTATTTGTAAGTTGAATTATTTTGTTCCCTATTTAATTTGTTTATGAGGCACTGGCTGTATATCAGAAGAAATAAAGACATAACTTTAGGGTGTGCAAACTATCTCTGTTTTACTGCACAGGTGGGTTGGCTGGTCTTCTCAAATTGATATTATCTTTCTGATCCTTTTGAATATTTAAGATATGTTTTAAAATAATTAAAATCCTTGCCTGTAAAAATGTTCTAAGATCAAACATGGAGTTTGTACTTAATACACATGCAGATTTACAAAATATCACAGAAGCTCTTCTTTTGTCAAAAGATAATTTCTGTAATATTGCAGAATGTGTTACTGTTATGCAAACAATTGATTCTTCTAATGTAGATGTATCCTGATAGGAACTCTGACCCGTCATAATTAATTTGAGGGCAGTGTACTAAATGTGTGGAATAAGACCGGGAATCTTACACAAAAGTTAACAGCTTGTTGTCTTAAGGTTCTCTCTTACATAAAGACATGATAACAAGCTTATAAGAAAAGGACCAAAAGTAGAATTGTCTTTAACATTTCACTATTGGTCTTTTTTTATGTTGACTTCTTCTTTTCTCTTAGAACAATGACAACACCTAAACTGCCACTGTGCTTCTATTTACAGTTTTGAGATTTCAGAGTTTGTCCCTTTAAACCAGGGAATTCGAGAGAAGGATTTAAAGATGTCTGGCACTTTATCGATTTGGGAAGTTTTGCTTGTATTCTGTCTTGCAGCTGGGTTGCTTGTAATTTTGTTGCCATCTAGTGGTCCAAAAATCTTTGTGTTCTCCAATCCAATCAGAAGCAGGTGTTTTGAAGAAAAGCTTAGCCAGGATTGGACTTTGGTACACCTCCTATCTTCTCTTCAGAAATGATATGCCTGTTAATGGTCCAGGTTGCCTGAAATATCAGTTAAAAGTTCTTATGTAAAAAAGTTTGATACAGTGAAACTGTGGATGCATAGCTAATCACATTTGAAGTCAATGGGACTGCTTCAAAGTGAATGTGTGTACGATTGAGCTATATTTAACATCTATGCCTCTTCTATGTATACATCTTAGAATAGAAGGGATTTTTTTTGACAATTAACTAGATAATTTATGACTTTTCCATCAGCTTTTGAGAAAGAATAAAACATGACTGCCATGAAAGGAGTATTTAATATAGGAGCTGACACTCTGATCCACTTGTATGAATTGGTTTGGCTGTACCTATTTGTGAAGCTTGTATTTTTTTTCTTAAATATGGTTATTATTCTGTTCTGCCATATATTTTAGGAACCCAGTGGCACTTTATTTACCATCTGTTAATGTTCCTGTTTTAGATACAAAGTTTATGTTGAACTACTTGTTTATTGTCAGAAAGGTGTTGGAAATAAAGGCACTGCTGACACGACTGCACTTGAGATTCAGTTTCTTTAGAAAAGTTAATAACGGCATGCCTGAGTGAGGGATGTTGTTATGGAAACTGAAATTTTAAAGATATATTTTTAGAACATATGAAAAGCTCAGCTGGATCAGACTAAAGTTTTTCTAGCCCCATGTCCTAGTTCCCCTGTTTTCAACTCAAACTCATTATGGAATATAGCTGTCTCTTAAGTGCTCCCCAGCAGCTGGTATGCAGAAGCACATAGATCTCGTGATTAGCAGGCATTCATTCCTATACCCTCCATTATTTCCCCTGTAAAGGCATCTAAGTTGGCCATCACATCATCTTGTGGTAATGCATGTAGCTGAATATCAGGAAAAACTTCCTAACTATTGGAGCAGTACGACAGTGGAACCAGTGACCTCGGGAGTTGGTGAGTGCTCCAACACTGGAGGCATTCAAGAAAAACTTAGATAATCACCTGGCAGATATGCTTTGATTGTATTCCTGCACTGAGCAGGGGGTTGGACTTGATGGCCTTGTAGGCCCCTTCCAACTTCATTTTTTTATGATTCTGTGATTACATCATTTACTGTTTGTTGTGTGAAGAAATACTTTTGTCTGTCCTGACTCTCCAATCATTCCATTTTATTGAATTAGTTGAGTTCTGGTTTTATAAAAAATAGGAGAAACATATATCCCCATACTTTCTCCATCCCTTGTAAGATATTATGTCTTCATCTCCCCATACTTTTCTATTAAGACTAGCATTGTGATTTTTCGACATAGAACTTTTCAAATCCTCTGATACTTTTTGAATCCCCTTTTACTACTTTTTGCAGCTCTACAGCATGTTTTCTGAAATGGCCAGAACCTTATGCAGTATTCAAACCATGATTACAGTCATGTGAAAAAGAAAGTACACCCTCTTTGAACTCATCAGTAAGTGGCACCACCTCTATAAAAGCCAAAGTTTTAGCAGTTTGCTGGTCTGGAGTATTCAGGTGTATGTTAACACAATGACAAGGAGGAAACCTATTAGCAATGGTCATAGAGAAGCAATTGTTGCTGCCCATCAATCTGGGAAGGGTTATAAGGCTATTTCCAAACAATTTAAAGTATATTATTCTACAGTGAGGAAGATTATGCACAAGTGGGAAACATTCAAGACAGTTGCCAGTCTTTCCAGAGGTGGACATCCAGGTAAATTCACCCCAATGTGAGATTGTGCAATGCTCAGAGAAATTGCCAAAAACTCAAGAGTTACATCTCAGACTCTACAGGCCTCAGCATGATAAATGTCAAGGTTCATGACAGTATAATTAGAAAAAGACTGGACAAGTATGATTGGTTTGGAAGGGTTGCCAGGAGAAAATCTCTTCTCTCTAAAAAAAGAATGTGATAGAATGGCTTAGGTTTGTAAAGTTGCATCTGGACAAGCCACAAGACTTCTGGAACAATATCCTTTGGACAAAGTAGAGATGTCTGGCCATAATGCACAGCTCCACAGTTGATGAAAACCAAGCAGCATATCAACACAATCACTTCATACTACATGTCAAGTATGGTGGTAGTGATGCTTTAGGCTTGTTTTGAAGCCACAGGACCTGAGCACCTTGCAGTCATTGAATCGACCATGAACCCCTCTGTTTACAAAAGTAAATACACAGAATGGCTTAGGTTTGCAAAGTTGCATCTGGACAAGCCACAAGACTTCTGGAACAATATCCTTTGGACAAAGTAGAGATCTTTGGCCATAATGCACAGCTCCACAGTTGATGAAAATCAAAAAGCATATCAACACAAACACTTCATACTACATGTCAAGCATGGTGGTGGTGATGATTTAGGCTTGTTTTGCAGTCACAGGACCTGAGCACCTTGCAGTCATTGAATCGACCATGAACCCCTCTGTTTTCTAGAATCAAATGAGAAGTCATCTGTTTGACACCAAAGCTTGGCCTAAATTGGAATGTCAGGTCCTGATTTGGATTACTGACTCCCCTAGGAGTCCTATAAGATTTATGCACCTCCCAGATAAAGAAAACAGATTCTATGATTTGTCATAGCTGCCATTATTCCAGTAAAGTATTAATACCAGAACAAAACCAAATAATCAGTTACAAGCTGTTTGTAAACTCATCTGGGTATCTCATTATAAGTGTCTTCATTGTTGCAATAACTCCAGGCCACTCCAGAACTTGTTAATTCAGTGCATGTTTTTAGACACGGAACGGCATTACCTTCCCACCGAGGTGGTCCCTATTGATCTACTTGCATTTGCATGCTTTCAAACCACTAGGTTGGCGGGAGCTGGGACAAGCAACGGGCGCTCACTCCATCATGTGGATTCGATCTTACGACTGCTTGGTCTTCTGACCCTGCAGCACAGACTTCTGCGGTTTAGCCCACAGCGCCATCACGTCAGGCCACTCCAGAACTTGTTAATTCAATGCATGTTCTTTTTATTTACATCCTTTATAGTTTCCATGCTTAAAAGTAGCAAATCAGAAATCTCTCCAAAACAATCTTACAGTTATGAAGGGAAACCGTAGGCACATATGCTGAATTCCAAAAATCATACAGACATGCAAAATAATAGGTTTCAAAATGCTTTAAAATCCATAAAAGTTGAACTTTAGCTTTGTTAAACAAATACTTAAGTCAGAAAATACATTTCAGTTGTAAACCTATAGCTGCAAAATCCAGACAAGAAATCAGTCATGTTTGAATCAAATACATTAAATACATTAAAACACAGGAGCTCATAGCCTACAAAGGCAGATAATACATCTTTGTAACATGTGAAAGTTCTTAGGAACAAAATAATACAAAACATATAATTTTCATTGACAGGCGTGAAAAAGTATTTAAACTTTTAAATGTAATAATGTGCAAAATCAAAAAGCATTACTTAGTTCTAAGCATGTTATTAACAAACAGAAAACTATTTTCTCTAAAAGAGAAAAGTTCATGCCAGCCTTTAGCAGCTTTTATCTATGTTATTCCCATGGCTATCTCCTGTCCAAGTGCAGTCCATATGCATCTTCCCACTTGTTTGCAAAACGCAGGTGGCTGTGGTTCTTGGAAGATGTTCTCTGTTTGATTACCTCTGGCTTTCAGAGATTTTCTTTAAGATGTTCCATAAATGTGATGGAGGTCTCTCCATCTGATGTTTCGAGTTAAGTCAAAACATTGTGATGCAGAACTTTTAACTCTCTCAGGAACGTGAACCTTCAAAGAATTGGGTTCCCTTGGGTACGAGATATCTAACAGCCGGGAAACAATATGTTGAGGTAGCTTCTAGCCATGGCAGCTTGTAGTCAGGAAAATGCCCCTACTTGGGGTACTTCCTTAATACCATATTTGAGCAGTACATCCTGAATTATTGTTACATGCATTTACATTTATAATGTTTCATTCATAAATACTACA